TATTTTTTCGGTCAGTCAATTTTAATAGTTTACTTTTATTATTCTAATATAATACAACTACCCCAAAACATTTTATAAGTAAAACAAATTAAAATATTAAAAATGTCATTACGTTATTTGAAATTTATTTCTCACACTTAGTGTCTTAGTCGTTTGAATCTCAAAACAGTTGACAGGTATCTATATGATAAGTGAGGATGAACCTAAATGAATCTAACATAGAGTCACCGGCCAATTTCTATTATGCCATTAATCAATTTTATTATTTTGATTTTTCACTCATTTTCGAGTCGTTATTGTTTGACTAGAGAGCTGCAGTATTGCATAACTAAATCACAATACAAACGAATAATTTGTTTACCATAAAATAATAATAATAATAATATTATACAAACGGATAATCTACTGTACGTAGCATATGCACACGATTTTTCCAATAATGTATTCCACCGAGAGAAAAAACAATGAATTGTTTTATATTGTGTACAAATAAAGTTTGAAAAAATGATCACGGAGAATCAAGTTAATATTATGTTTCAATGGTTATAAATTATCCTTATTTGTGAACATTAGAAACTTGTTTATCGTCCACGTACCAATGAAAATTACTGCTGCAAGACAAATAAGATCTACGTGATCGTAACAATCGATCATCAGACATCAATTCATACCGCTAATAACATTATCGTCATAATAATATGATAATTATTTAACGTATGCAATTTTATCTATAATATAGATTCTATACATTATACACACTTAAAAAAACATATCATCATATTGTATGGTAAGTTATTGTATATTTAGGCTGCATGTTAAATTTATGTGCTCCTAGATAACGCACATAAAAAGTCATTTTTAAACAAATCTTATTTTTTCTTTATAAGACAATAACATGAGAAAACACATTTTGATTACAAGAACATGGACAAAAGTATTTTTTACCCTCAACTATCATAATTGAACCAATGGCCTCAATTCTGACCTACAGAGCACAGCAATTGATTTATGGAATAGACATTTCATAATAGACGTATAATTACCCGAACGCAATTGTATATAAAATACGTTTCAAAACGCATTATGAAACGTTAAAAGTGTATAATTCACGATTTATTTTTTTTATCCAATAGAAAAATGTGTTTGGAATAGGTTTATGATTTTCAATGATATAATTTTTCTTAAATGTATAATATATATTAGACTGATGTGATAGTGTATCAGTAAACTAAATAATTTAACAGTTTTAACATGATATAAGAACTGTGACTTTTAAACACAATTAATAAGTTTTAATCAGAGTTGTAGTTATTAATGATCATCGATCATTCCCAGTAAAATGATTATTTTCAAAATAATAATGTTCAGCTCTTGTTATGTAACAGTCAATCTACCGAATTGTACTCACATAAACTATTTTTTAATTTTTTTTTAATCGATTTCTTACTTTACATTGAATTTTGTATTTACCGACTGTAAATATTCTATTTGTAGTCAATATAGTGATGGATTGCTGTGGAATTTTTAGCAGCCAATTGACTTGATTCGTAAACGCCCTGATAATTGGAGTATCGTTAGATCAAGATTTTGAACGCATAAATTATTTCATTTTATTGATAACTATCGAATTGTATAAAAGTATAACATCACGCGTATGTAAGTATTTGTGATACATGACTATATTGATAAGTAAATATTAGTAATTAAACATATTCCGAAGACTATTTTTATTAATACAGAAAATACATTTTTTTAAAAACACGACTACGGTCTAAGTATTTTTCATAATTCATAAATTAATTTTTAAACTATAATAATAATAATATAAGTTCACAATAAATTAATTAAATTCTAATAACTAGAAGTATCGATAAACTTCGAAAACCGTACATGAATATAACAAATGAATAGCATATTTAGAAACAGAGCAACTCCAATAATCTGAACAATCTAAAATTCATCTAATACTCATATTTGCAATGTTTTACCCAGATTAATTTTATAAACTGATAACTACAAAATATAATATGTAGGTATTGGTCAGTAGTCTATATTCTGTAGTGCTCTAGAAATTGTATTAACAGTCAATTTGTATGGGGGGGGGGGGGGTCGTACATGAAAACACATGACAGTTATAACCCTCATAAATTAATGTAATTTATGTTTAATTACCTAACTAATATTTCAAGTCTTATTAATTGATATGTGTCTATACTTCAGCTAAATATATAGGATGTACTCCTGCTATATAATTATGGTGCATCGGTAATCGTTATGTTTAACTTTTATTGATTTTGGGCTCTATGACAATGATTATATTTAATACCTATGACGGACGCGGTCCTTGATTTAAATCTATGAGTCTTATAGAGTTTTCGTCGAGTCGTATACCGAAATTCACATAATATATCTAATACTTTATTATATTTGAAAAGTTACCTACCCCCCCCCCCCCCCAATAATACGACAAATGAACGATCTCAGTCGGAAAACGAAAAATGAAAATCACCGGGTACTCATACTTGTATACATGCGGCGTCTTTCGTCTATATTATATAGTCAGACCTTGAAATTCGGCTATCCGTACGAATTTAATGACGTATAGCTGCATAGACTAGTACGGCTGCAGAGAAGAACAAGGCGCGGTGACGGCGGCATGATAATAATATTTAGTCGTATATTTATGTGTGCCCCGAGAGAATGCGATAATTTTCAGTAAATTCAAAACGAGCAGCCCGCAAAAACGGGAACACATCGGCCGAACGTCACAAAATCAAGACGCTCGTCTGCGTTGTACGTCTGGGGGCGATTTAGACATTATAACAGGGCGACGACGCGAGTACGAATAATACACATTATAATATGGAGAAACATAATAATAATCATATAATATAATATAATACGTACATTACATATTTTTACGTACACACGACGATGGCGGTGGCGAAGGGTACACACATATTATACGCGTATATTATATTATTATTATATTATTATTATATTATTATTATATGTTGGCGAGCGATATTATATTATATGTAAATCCGTTACGGTAATCCGATAACCGGTATTTAACACTCCATTAGAATTGTAAAAATATAAATTACATATATTATTATTATAATGTATATACCTCCTAATATATTATGTATTATGTGTATGTATATGCATGTGAAGTATACCTATATGTGTGTGGAAAAAGATCGATTTTCGCACAAGATTAAAGGGCGCGCGCTTGCCTGTGGTGGTGGATTTATATTATTATTATTATTATTATCATTATCATTATTAGCGCGCATGAAATGATCGGCAATATTATACTGTAATATAATAATAATAATAATAATAATGTAAAGATATAGGTGGAGGTCAATAATTAACCACTATTCTGATATGAATTATGGTAAAGCATTTTGGCAATATCATCAGCAGTCGCAGGTGGCGGAATATCTTTTTTTTCCTATTCTCGTTTATAATCGTTTTAAATTATTATAATATTCTGTTTTAGGACCGGCGCGTAGTGTGTATAGTTTAATAATAATTGCTACCCGGACGACGACACACCCGGCGGTTTCTCTTTGTGCGCGAGGAAAAAAAATTATTTTAAAAAAAGAATCTAAAACACCCATTGATTTCGGATTAATTTAATAAATTTCTTACACACCTATTAGGCATATATTACTATATAACCTATTACTTATGTATAATAATACTAATAATAATAATACCGTCATATACGCGATATTATAATATCACGTAGGTATAATACAATGTACGCATATTGAATGCGAATATATCCGAGACACCCTGGAGCCCTGTACGAAATCACGCCCAGGGCTCGTCGTCATAATGGCAGGTAAGGAATAAAAATATATAATATTATGTTATAGATATAATATTACAGGTCATAGGATTTTATTTCCGGAAGACTTACACCGGCTCGCCTATACCACGTTTTCCACTAGTCCTAGATAAACGCATGAATCCTCATATACTCGATAGCCGATGCTATTACTATTTAATAATAATAAAATAACACAACAGAATGTCGGGAGATTATTATTACATAGTATGAAAAAATCTAAAAATATGAGATGATAAATCTATAAAACGATGATGACAAAGTATAATAATACTTGAAAAGAATATACTATAATTGAGAATTTTGCTTAGACAAAAAAAAGTCAGTGTAGAAGGTTCAACGTATTAAAACAATAAAATTGAATACTTTAATGTAGAACCAATAAGATCGGTTGCGAAAAATTTGTAAATTATTGGGTTGAGAAAAATATAAAATACGTCGTAGCCGATATTAGACTTAAGCGCTTTAGAAGCTAAAGTAAATTCAGACAACACAGTTTGTGACAATCTTTGGCCTAGGTACCTACCATGTTTAGTTCATTGGATTATAATGTAAAACACAAATTATTGTGCTATAAAATACAAAAATCATAAAAATAAAATAATAAATAGATATTAACCCTTTCAGGACGGGCGGGACGTTTGAGTCCCGGCTCTAAAACGTCTAATATTAAATAAACAGTAAAGCCGATTGAGCCAATCGTACTGACGGGACATCTGAGTCCCATGGACATAAGTTATAAAAAAAAAAAATTTAATAATATCTATTTATACAACATTTATTGTCGTATACACATGAGGTGTAATGCATTATACACTTTTCAATCTTATCGCTGTTTTGTTTTCATTTTATAAATACACTTATCGTTTTCTTCGTAAATACAGTTAAAAATACGATTCAGATTATAACGAGTGTATATTACGTGTTTATATTTGTGGGGAATAAATCATTAATTCGTAAATAATCGTGTTTGAATCGACGGGACTCGCTTGTCCCGTCAGTTATCTACGTCTAGCTTTTCAGTGACCATCACGTATTAGTAATCGTACGATATTCGCGTAAATATTTTTACCACGTGTTATTTATTATTCGTATTTTTTAATTATTTTTATTGCACACGCACTTACATTTATTAAAAATGAATAATAAACTTATTGAAAACGACGTAGAAGAGTGGTTAGCCATGGATATTCCTGACAATCACATACTATCTGAGGACGAATACGACTTAGATGAAGATCAAATGGACGAAGAAGCCCCAAACCAGGTAGAAATAATTGATCGTTTATTTTTACCAACTGGCCAGGACATAGAAAGTAGTAGTAAGGATTTAGAATTATTAGAAAACAATGATGACATGCTAGTTTTTGATTTCCCTGAGTTCTCTAATGATAATAATGACGTTCCTACTAATGCTGATAATCCTAGTCTTATGAGAATTTTAAGACCAAGAACTTCTACTACACTTATAGAAAATAATGTTCAAAATAACCCGATAGTTATTGTTCCTAATTTACCGGTAACTCCAGACCCAGTACTTCAAACTGAAATAAATCGACAGTGGAGAAAGAAAGACGAAACCACTATTGAGTTACCGTTATATAATGAAAATAAAAGCTGTAATGTAGAGATGTTCAAGAATTGTAAAAGTGCGACAGATATTTTTGTAAAACTTCTAAATCCAATTATTGATCATATAGTTGATCAAAGTAATTTATATGCAACACAAAATAACAAAACACTTAAGTTATCTGCAGATGAATTAATGGGCTTTATCGGAATTAACTTTTGCATGGGATATCATAAGTTACCATCTTATATACACTACTGGAGTACTGCAAAAGACCTACATTTACAAGTAATTTCCGAAGTTATGATCAGAGATAGATTTAGTGAAATTTTATCAAATATTCATGTAAATGATAATACCGCGATTCCAGCAAATAATAAAGATAAACTTTACAAGTTACGTCCAATGATAGATTTGTTAAATAAAACATTTTCTGAAGCATATAATGGAACACGCGAGCTCAGTGTGGACGAGTCAATGATAAAGTTTAAAGGACGTGTATGGGTACGTAATATGGTTATTGCGTAACTATTACCTTAGAACTAATTATTGATATTTAGTATCACCCATTGCTTTTGGAAGGCTTGCAGTAGAAGTGAAGTAGTACTTGGTAGAAATCGCCGCGTAACGTAATTAATGCAGTGTCATAAAAAATGAACATAATAAATATATTAACCAATACAATATATTATTATATTATTATTGTTTAATATTATTTTTGATATTATGATATAATATATTGTTTTTATAGTAAATACTTAGTAGCACACAGAGAAAAGCACACAACAGCAGAACGTTAAACAAATTTAATGCTCAGCGTTTAACGTTCCCACTACTCAAAGTGTTGCCTACATTTTAAAATTAGAAAACCGTATAGGGCCTCCAGAATGACCGTCTTTTTCCATAAAACTACATTATCGTATTTATATTATGACCAGTGACCATGTTAAATTAAACTAGTTTGAGGCTGGTTTCCTTTGTACACGTTCGCTTAAATCCTTTGATGTGATTGGTTGGTTAGGTTTCGGTACCTCACGAGGAATCACATAACCGTGTTCTTGGACATGGCTGAACATTTTTCGTGTACACGGTATACGCGCATGGTGAAAACCCACCTTTAGCCTAATGAATTTCTATAGGTAGAGACTGCAAAATAACCGTATTCCGCTAAATTCGTCGTAGCTAGTACCTACCGTACTTAAATAATATATATTATGACCACATTACGTTCTCCGGTGTGGCCAATGTTTGAATATTAAATAACCGTATACAGAGCTTTTAAGATGATCGTTTTCGACCAAGTTACCGTACCATCATACTAATTTCTGACCATGATAAATTTGTCGCAGTGCTGTCAACATTCGAGCGCAAAAGCGTGCGACCTGAAAAAATGGATCTACAGCTCGTACCTACGTGTAATACAAGTTCAGAAAAATAAGTTAATACAATTATAAGACTTAACTTACTATAAGTATATTTTACTGTTTAAATTGGGTTAATTGTACATATTGTGATTCAAGTGTTTATTATTTACTATTTACATTACAAAGTGTTATCTATTTGCACAGTGTAAAGGGACAATAGTCAAATCATATGCGATATGCTCGGCGTCAAAAAAAATATCGAAAGGAAAAAAAAATCAGATTTTATTTCGAAGTACCTGCATTTGGATTTCAAGAAAAAAACCAAGAAACTTGGTTCCGGGCGGTAGTCCCTTGATCGCCCAAGTATTTTCTGTTTCCGTGTATCATCTAATTAATATAGGTAAGTTTAGTAGTCACTTAAGTTATAATTAAGTATATAATCATCGTATAGGCACTAATATTGTATTGAATTATAATCTATGTTTTAAAAATGCTGAACGTCACAAGCCTAGCTTAAATAGGCGGTGGACAATCGAAAATTGATGTACTCGTATTGTAAATAAATTATGTGGGTAGGTAGGTGCATATTTTTTCGATGAATAAAAAAATAATAATCATACACTAAAAAAATATAACACAGACAAACACAACAGCCGTGATAAACTACTTTTTACTAATAGTTGATATAATTTTTAAAAATAAAGTACCTATCTAAATGTCACATGAAGATTATATAATTTAAAATGATGAGACAATAAAAGTTACATTTCCTTGCAACCTCAAATAAATAAACCCATTGTATTATATTCAGTGAGCTGTATATTCTCTACAGTTCATTTAAATGTAAATCGGGTACCTATAAATGAAATAAAAATATACACTATTATGAAAATACAACTCTTAAAAAAAATATTGAACACGTCTAATAAAATAAAATAAAAAACTGTATGCTATCTTACATATCTTACAATTTGTTATGACTTATTTCGTTTTTATGTATAATATTATAATTATTACTCAATATTTATTGAGTGAACCAGAAACATCGTTTTACATATTATGTAAAATTATACTTTTATTATCACTTAAGCCTGGTGGCTATACGTTTAATAATTCGAAGCCGTTCATAAAACTGTAAATAATCTCCACATATATTATACTATACTTTAAGCTTGAAAAAATAATGTATTCGCAGTACATGTAATATTTAATTAATTTGAATTTGAAAACTTAAATTTTCAATTATTTGCATAAATATAATGATAACATCGAGAGTAAACGAGAGTAAAATAAGTTATATGCTGTCAAGTATTGGCGTATTGCTGCAGGTAAAACTAGAACTGTTTACAAGTTAGTTTTTAGCTCATTAATAGGATTTAATCGAAAATGCATAAACCACCGTCGTATACAGTGGCCCAAATGGCATAGCGGCTATGCCAAACAGTAGAAACCGAAAAATTGTTTAGTTACTTTAAAAATTACAAAGATAAGATTGATTTGTTTGAAAATAATTCAAAATTCAGACGCAAACATGCCGGATTTGCCATCAACTCATTTCTGAATAACTTCTAGCTAGTCTGTCTTCAATATTGTAATTATATTATATCACAATATAAATATTACATTGTTATACAAAAAACCACTTATGTACTGTATGCTGGTATAATAATAATTTTTAATTTGCATTAAGAAAATAAAAAAAAATCGTGTACCTGCGGGGGCTTAAAAATATACATAACACTTAAGACCTCATATTAATCATAATAATATAATATATGCTGTATATAATATTGTATATCTCACTTTTAAACATTAAATCCTACTTATATAGTTTTATAGTTTATTACTCTGAAAACCGATTTTAATTACTTACTCGAATAACCTATTTCGCTGAATATAAAAATGTATTTGTTTTACTCGACTAGGTATATAGACTGAAATTAAATACTAATATAGTTTTTTTTTAAATCATGAGTACATTTGCTCATAGTTTTTTTTGTTTTGTTCAAATAAATATTTTCTAATTAGAAATTAGCTGGTGGCGGGACACGTTTTGAATATGATATGCAGAATATTGCACATATCTTACTGTGTAGAGATAATAATTATAAAGGGTGTGGGTGTGACATGTAGCATTATTCTCGGCTGTCCTATTCAAATTATTTGATTATTATTCAAATTATTTAGAATCTGCTTCGTCTTAACTAGTTTTTATGTACCTTCATCATCTTTGCTAAATTCCATTCAAATATTTCCTGAAGGTATTGACCGAATTGTTCAGATGATTCCATTAGACCTCGCGGTTGTGGTACGAATGTGTGGTCGGTAAAGTGGTATGCCAACTGCGGCCTCACCAATTTCGTACCATTCAATAAAATGTCGTTTTTAAATAATCAATAGGCAGACATTTACATAGTTCACATAATATTATAATAATGCTCCTTCATAAATAAAATGAATTTTGTAAAATGTTTTTTTAATATATTCATTGATTTATATTATTGATATACTATGCAATATTATCATTGTTATGAACTTTTATTCCTCAGCATTACTATTTACTATCCCTGATTATTACAAATATAGTGTATATTTTCCTAGTTGGAACCGATATAAGTTCTGGATGGTAACAAAATTCCTTCCAAGACATCCTTATAATATCGCATATTATTCAGATGACCGAGATGACAACTATTTTCATGAAAATTATCTTCATATAATATTTAGTATATCATTTGTATGTATTTGCTTGCTTTTCGCGTCATCAAAGAAAAATAATTGGCGGGGCAGGCTGAGGTGATGTGATTTCAGCTAACATCCATAGTTAAAAATTATAAATTCATAGTTTAAACTACAGTACTACACCATAATAAATTCAGTAGGTTCATAATTTGTATGTGCATTTTAAAATGTATGTGATCAAAAATTGGCGGAAATTTCATTTATTTAAAGAGAACCTCACTCCAACCACATCACTCAGCAACATTTCATTGTTTAATTTTTCTTCATACCTTTCAAATATATTCGAAAAACAAATTATTATTAGGTACGCATTATATCGTTAGCTCCCGCGGTTTTTTCCTCTCTTCTCGTATACCTATTATTTATCTTAATCGCTGCTCGGTCCGGATACATAATATAATGCGTATTGTGCGCACGGTATATAAGATCGTGTCAGTCTGTCGGTGACTTATATAGTATACGAATATTATAATAATAATATAAACCGTTCTCACCGCACCAGATGCAGCAGCAGCAGCAGGAACGTTCACGCGCGATAGCTCCCGGCGGGTACAGGCCAATATATATAGGTACCTATATATAATATATTAATAGTTTTTTAAACGTGTGCAGTTGAGATAAGAAGATCGAACGGAAAACAGTAAACACATATATATGCGCGCGCGCGCGCGCGCGTGTGTGTGTGTGTGTGTGTGTGTGTGTGTGTGTGTGTGTGTGTGTGTGTGTGAATAATATTATAGTACCTATGCGAGGTTGGTAAATAATAATAAAAAAAATCACGAAAAATTCATCAGAGTGTAATTTATTACCCTTCGGTTTTGCACGTCGTCGTTTATACTACCCATATTATAGTATGGGCACCCAACCTGCCTTTTACTCGTATCTGCGACGTTATCGCTTTACTATATTATAATATATGACGAAGCAGCGTTCAAATAATATTCAACTTACCAAACCTATTGTTTTGCGAAAGCGGTAGTCTCTATACGTATATACTCTCCGTTTACCGATCGTTGACCGACCTACTAATATCTGTGTGTATAATATATAGCTGTGCGTTATTAATTACATAAATAACTCAATTATAATAATTGTTACATGCTGTAAACGACAATGGCAACGAATTTCCAATCGTAAGTCAAGTCCTTATTCCACACGAAGAAGGTATATCTCATATTATATTATCATTATTATTATTATTTATTAGACAATGTAGTATTTTAATAGTGTTATACATGGATTGATTTTATACGACGAAAATCGTACTGTAATAATTAATAAGTATGATATTACCCTAAACAATTGGCTTTGTTTCGTACAATATATTTTAAATAAAACTTTAAGACAATCTGAGTGGTAAAAGTGGAAGACAAAAATACCAGACTTGATAATATTATGCTAAGAAGTATTGTAAGACGTGAC